TGTAAATTATATTATTCTTTTTATTATTTTGATTTTAAAAATTAAAAGTTAAAAAAATTTAAACAATGATCAGAGAGATTATCAAATGAACTAGAAAGTTATGGATAATTAAAATTTCGAACTAATGATTAGTTCTATAAATAAAGGTCATCAGACCTATTTTCTTTAAAGGTATTAATTTCAGATAGTATTACATTTAATATAACTGGATAGCAATATTGGGAGGATTGAAATCGGCACACATTATTATTTTTTAGTTTAATTTTTATTAGAATATCAAATCTTAACACCATTTTGTAATTGTACATTTATTGAATTATAGATAGATTTATAATTAATGTAAAATTTACTAACTAAAAGATCAATTGTTTAATTTTTAGTGAACTGCTAGAAAATAATATTTATTTTAATTCGGCGGGCTAATTTTTCAGTAATATTTTGGAAATTAATAGACGAATGAATACCTATTGCAACTCATCCTTAATGATTGCTCTATCATACTTTAATTACATTATTATATACTGGACTATTCTCAATCGTTTTTCAAGTAAACAAAAAATTGAAATTTTAGTTGAATTTCATAAAATTTTGAGGAATGGTTAATGTTTAAGCATATGCTGATGATTTAATTTTTATAGTTAAAAATACTTAAATTTACCAATTTCTAAAATTACTTGAGATGATAGCAAAAATGGAAGCTGATAGTGAAATAAAAAGAAATCAGGAATGTTTCTCTTCTTAACATTAAGAATACCAAAGATAAAAATATATTCGATTAACCGATCGTATATTAATACAATTTAGTAATTTTAATATCAACTTACAGACACCTCAATAAATTATAAGGATAATTAAAAGCTAAGACCAATAAACTAAAATTGATTTGCAGAAAAATGCCTTTATATTAATAGATAAATATGGAAAGTGTGTACAAACTCTATTTTAATTTATACTTAAACTGCAGTTTCTAATAACAAATATAAAATTCCAAAAATATTAATCTAATAAATAAAAAGAAATACGATGAAACATATTTTTGGATTACCAATTTGTGCTCCTAATACCTCTGAATTCAAAAAGTTAGTTAAGAATTACAGAGGGATTTAGAAAATTATTCTATCATGGAGGAGAATTATGTATTGAATATTAAAGTAGAGCTGATTATTATCATACATTAGACTATCATCTTAATGTTGATTAAAACATATTCTTGAAATATTTACAAGGAATAATAAAAAATAAAGGAAGTAAAAGAAATGTAGAAAACTCATTAAAAAATATGAAATAGTTAGAGCTGGCCGAAATTAGCAATCAAAAATAAAAAAAATAAAAGAATAAATAGTAAATAATTTTTTTAAGAATGTATTATTTATTAATAGTCTTAAGTTTAATTTGAGTTTTGAGAATTTATAAATAAATATCTGCAAATACATTAATTATGTTTTTCAAATTGATCCTACTGATAAATGTGTGAGAATATCAAAATGAGTATTTATTGAAAACTAAGTTATGAAGATATTTCTATTGAATTTTATATCATTATCTTTAAGAATTTAATAAAGTAACGTATTTATTTTAATTTGTGTATTTGCTTTAAATTTTCTATGTGTTTCCCTTTCATATCCAAATTTAATAGTTCTAAATTTATTCTGTAAATAAACTGATTCAAGTTATGTATTGATTCAAACTCTTTATATGCTTGATTATAAAAATTTTAGTGATTTTGATTTAAAATAAATAGAAAATTATGAGAAAATATAATTATTATTTGTTCTATCTTTTCATAATTAATAAAAAAATTCATCCTATTTGATAAATCTAACTCCTCTTCAATTTTCTTAAGTACAAGACAAATTCATATAATTAATTATCAAATTTTCATGGAGTAATTATATCAATATAAATACCTCATAATATTAGAGTTTTATTTAAATTTGATTTTATCTGAGGCAATCAGATGGTTAATTATGCAAATTGAATTAATTTTCAAATTAAAATAAAATAAAGAACATCAAATTAAGTTGATAATATTAAGTTGATACACTAATACAGTTGTAGATAACAAGAAAATTTTAAAGTAAAAATTTTCATTAATGTTCGGAATATATATATCTTTTAATTTTTTTCTTCTTTTTACAAGGTTTAATTCACCTAATAAGTAAGGAATAAAAAAAAAATTACACAAATATTTAGAATAAATAAAATTGTTCTCGAATGTAGATTTCAAAAAATATTTCATCTTTTAATCTATTTGAATATGTCACCCTAAGAAATTTAACTATTTTTTATACCATCATAGAAATATGAAGGTTAAGGGGATATATATTGTTAAAATTGAAAGGTAAAACTTTATCAGGACATTGTAAATATATATATAAAATCATATTATTAAAATTATTTAGATGTATTTTAAGAGCATCAACATTATATAATTTATTAATGATGGAAAATAATTAATTTGAAATATATTATGTTTCTAAAATGTAGATTTCTAATAACAAAAAATATTTAATGTGATGATGTAGAGGTGCTAAAATTTGGTTTAATTTTTGGTTGAGCAGTACTTAAGCTGATACATACAATTTTTTAGAAATGGAAAAAAGAATTGTCTAGCATGAAAATTTAGAAACCATTGAACACTTTAATAAAATCAATATGCACAGAAAATCTTGCTACCTAGTTGTTTTCAACTATTCAATTTAAATATATTTTATAAATTGAAATCATTACTTTCTCTCTTTATTCATTCAACTATTAAGTTATAATAGAAGAAGAAAATGATTTATGAATTTATTCCTGTTTTCATAAAGATATGTCTCTAAAAATTATTAGAGGAGAAAAAAATGATATATTCAAGTTATTATTTAATATTTTGTTGTTTCAATGAAATTTTGGAAGATCTTGAATTCTTTCATTTACAGAACAATGATAATAAAGGAATTTACAAGCCAACCTTCAAAATATATCCATTTTGGCCTATAAATTTTAAATGACTTGTTAATACTGAAATGTGGTTTATTGATTTTTACAAATGGATAAAAGCCAGAAAATTCTTTTGAAATATTTCTTTTATATCTAGTTAGACCATATGCTTATTTTATAAGATCAAATTTATAGGTTGAATACATTCTCTTTAGTTTTGTGACAATGTAAATTTTTATATTATATTGGTTTTATCTTATGAATATACAAAAAAATGACAAAAAGACAACATCATATATAGATCAAATTAGTAAATACGAATCACTTTCAACATTATATTTTTTAATGATTAAAATTTGGAAAACCCTATTCTTATTTTTAACAGAATTTTTAGGATATTTATTAATCGAAGGGTATTTTTTAATCTTATTTGATAAAATTTAAGATAATTTATTTTGCATCATCAGCTCCGTCATAATTATATTTGAAATCTTAATAATAATAATACTATAAGAATTATTCTGGAATTAAAGTCTTCATTATATCCCAAAATAACTGAACCAAATAAATTAACCCACCATCTCCATTTTATATACTAAATTATTGAAAATTATTACACTTTGTCTTTTTGCTAGTTAAATAAGTTATAAATCTGTAATAGTTTTAGGGATATCGATCTTAAATAGTATTTATGAATTGTACATCCTATTAATACTAAAAATTAAACATGATTTAATGATCATAAGCTTAGATGTATTAATGTAATGTTTAATAATTTGTGTTTCTATTTAATAATTAATAATCAATGCAAGTAATTTCGGATTATAATTCTTGTGGATTATTGTTGGAATTTTACTTTACAAATTAATTTCTTTATATTACTTGAATAACTCTATTTTACAGATTTAAGTAGTTCAATTGAATGATAATAACATTGATTATAAATTGTTGGATGGAAAGTAGAAACTATTCAAATATTAAAAGTTAATTTAAGAAAGAGGTTCTGAATATAGATTAGCTAATAAAATTTTGGTAATATAACATCAACAGAAATGTAATAAGTAATATTGCTTTTGCAGAAATGACGAGATGATCATGATTAAATTGGAGCATCTTATCCTTAAAGAATAAATTGATATTTTTAAAACCTTTATCAAATAATCTCAAATATAATCATCATTATTTTACTTGTAATTCATATAATTGCTTATTTATAATAATAGATTATTTGAAGCTTTGAACATTACTTAGAAATTACTTAACTCTTTTAATAGAAAATCATAATATACGAAATAAGTACAATTAATAAAAGGTTAAGTTTCAATTACTCACAAAATGCTTTTTAGACTACTTTAACATCAAATTTTCATGTCAATCAGATGTTCAATTTAAAGTAAATCATCTAGCGCTACAAAATTATAAGTTATCAAACAAGCAATTAGATAATTTCAATAAAAGTTTGATTCTGAGAAAACTATTCAAAATAAATTCAATGACATCATGAAATATAAAATTGATTTCTTGGATGATTTATCAAATACACCAAATTTAGATGATGAATTCATCAATTATTAGGCTTTCAAAATAATCTAAGAAATGGATTAATTTAAAGAACTATTAATGTACAATTTTTAGTAAATGCCAAGTATATTTAAATAATATAATTAGCTTCCAATAATAAGAGTTTATTATTGTTCTTTCAAATAGAAATACTAAATGATCTAATCAATTCTCAAACAATTAATACAATGAATACTCATTTAGAAGATTAAGAATAGATAATCTTTTCTAATAATGTTTATTAAGAATTAGTAAATTAATATTATTTCGCATCATTCATTTTAAAAGATGAGGACAATATTGAATTTGTATCAAACAATGAAAAAAAATAATTGAAAATTGGATAGCGAAAATATATTGCTTTTGAAGAGATGGTTCCATAATCTTTGATCTCACTTCATAAATACTTGATAAAAGATTTTTTTTAAACAGGTAAGAATAAATATTATTTAAACATTAATTAATCCTTTTTATAAGTATCTACAGGAATCATAAGTCCAATTGAAATGTGTATGGACATATCTTTTGATCTAAAAATGAACTAGTTATTAGTAACAACGTTTCTAAAGCAATTAAACAGTGACAATTAAGTCCATTACATTATTTTAGATTCTCAATTTAAGATAAGAGAAATCTCATAAGTTCTTTATGAAAATATCTTAGATTATCCAGCAAATACTAAGATGCTACTATATGATATTTCAGTATTTATTTTTATTCCAGAATTAAAAGAAAAAGACTTTATTTAGGATAGGACTTTGGGATTGTATAAACTCTTCTTTCCATTAAATATTAATAAATAAACTTCACCTAATTTAAAAACTTATAAAAAATCTTTAGAATTTTTTCAAGGTTTAATAAGTGTAAAAGTAAGGTTTATTAATAAAAAGAATCTCTACTACATTATTGAGATAAGTGATTTGAAATCAGAGAAACCATAATTATTAGAATCTATATCAATACCTTAAGGAGAGATTGACGAAAAAGAAATAATTAATATTCCTTTGGAAATTAATTTATGGAATGAAATTACAAGCTTGAATTAAATGAATTAGTAATAATATACATCTCTTCTGGATTCATAAAGACCTTTATTAGTTAATAGTTTAAGTGATGGACTAGAATTAAAAATTGAAAATAACCATAAGCTCGATAATAACAGCAAGATAAATAAGAAACTATAGAACTCTATAGCCTCAGTATAAGACTAATATTCTGAAAAGGCCTAATAATAGTTTGATGATGTAGGTTCATAAGTTTCCTCAGTAGCTGCAGTTAGAAGATCTCTTTATTTTAAATAATTTAAAGTAATCAACGAATTAATATACTCAAAAATCTTCCCCAACAATATCAAACTATTTAATATAACTTTCTTCATTTATATTCTTGTAGGGATAATAAATATGATAATTCTTATTGAATAAGTTTAAAATTTATAGAAATATTAGGATCTTATGGTATTATTGAGTATTAAGTATGATATTTATGAACCAATAGAATCTTTTTTAAATACAAGATACACAATAGTTGGACTCAACTAAGCTATTTCTACAAAAATGATAACACAATAGGAATATAATGAATTAGTAGCATTTCCTAATTCAAATTTGGTTAAAGGATATGATGATTTAAAATCTAATATCATGGATGTTATCTAAAGAAAAGAATTTTAATCTTTTTTGAAAGACTATTACTTTGAAAGTTATTGGTATACATCAACAAACAAAGGAAGCTAAAGAAATACAACTTTTAGGAGTGGAATTCTAGCAATGCTAAACTATCAATATGAATATAAATTAGCTTTTACAATTCGACCATTAGTAATAGATAGTGCTTATTCTTATTATTCCTACAAAAATTACCTTTCAATTTTTTCAATTTTTACTTAGTTAAGTAATGATATTTTAGATTTGTTAATAAATTCATTAAGTAATTAGCAAATTGAGCTTATTGTTATCAATGCTACCTTTAATTGCTTACTTACAATTATTTCAATTTGTTATTTCTACTATTTAGTAAAATAACGACGATTGAAAAATAAAATTTTAAGTTTACTCCCATAACAAGATAAAGATATTATGCTATATGAAATTTAAAGACTTAAACTTTTATAAAGTCATATTAATGCCAATTATAACTATTTATGTCAATACACATTAGAAATCTAATAATTCGATGAAAATTTAAAAAAACAAGAAGGAGAATTCTATAAATTAGTCAATAGAAAAGGCAAAAAAACAAGTGGCTTAAAAAGAAAAAGATAAGTCACTATTTATAATTTTATTTAAGTTGGAATCTTTTTATTTAGCTTCATTATAATTCTATTAATTAATCTCTTGACTATTAATTCACTTGATTAATATCTATTTAAATAAAAAAACACAGGACAAATATATTCATCCTTGTCCAATACAGGAGTTAATATTCTCATCATTTATGCTTAAAGGGAAATTTTATATAGGATTGTGGCTTTTGCATTTTTGACATCCCAAGATATTTAAGGCATCTAAGATTAAGTTGATAATAGTTTAATATAGATTTAAAATTTTAGCACTTAATTTCTATAAGTCAATTAAAATGATTATCTTTTAGATGATAATTCTATGAATTTATTCACTGATATAAGCACACAATCTTTATGTAATTTTTTGCCGGAGGTAAATAAAATAATTATCATCTATAGAAATATGCAAATGTTTCATAATCCTTATGTCCATTTGTTTTATAAGGAATCTTAAATAAAGGCTTAATACCTACATTGAATTTAATGTATACTTCAGTTTATGCTGAAAAATAAGTTAATAATTTCACATCCAGACCACCTACTCAGGTACCATTAAGAGAATTAGAAGGGGCTACCTTCACATCTTGGGTTATTAAAGAATTAGTAAAAGATTTAGCTCAAAATTTAAATAACTACTCTAGTTAATTACAAATGACTTTTACTGTAATCAATTTAATCAATAATTTAGATTATTTATGCATTTTTTATTGCTTTTTAATTGTTATTTGGTTTAATTATAGTTATAAAAATAAGCAACTATGAAATGATATAAATAAGCCATCTAAGAAAAGTAGTTTATTTATTACCTCAATCAATATTGTTATTTGATGATTCATTTTAGCGCCAAATTAAAATTATCATGAAATAAGAAGATTTGACATGATTAAAATTATATTTCATATAATTAAAATTGATTTGTTAACATAAATCTATTTTATTTGAGGTCATTTATAAATATCAATATATATTTTTAATTCCTTTATTTTTATAGGCAGGAATATGCAGATATTACATTTAATTATATTCTAATTAAATAAATATATAAAGTTTAGTTTATTTAATTGTTTATCAAATAAATCAGAAAAATCCTTTTTACATGATATATTATAGTGTAACTTTTACTAATCTTCTCTCAATTCCTTTGGTTTCCTTGTTGTTTAAATTCTCACTCATCTCCTCTATATACTATTCTATATCTTATTTCTATTAATTCTCCATTTATATCTCACTATGAGACTTTATCCTCTTAATGGTTACCCTAGTTCTTTTTTATCAATCTGTTTTTTATTATTTACTACATTTTAACTTTCATTTATAAAATTACCTGAGTAGATTTGTTGATATTTTCTGAAAAGTTATTTAATTTTTATTCAATCCTTCTTATTTTTTTGGCTAAATTATTTATAGAATTCCCCATATTAATACAATGTGCGGTCTTTAATAAGTACCAAAAGGGCTCTACATCTAAGTAGGTGCAGGTATATAATATCAAATTTCTCATAAAATTATTAAAAATGTAACCAAGATCCAAAAGAACAGGAGAATAATTTCAATTGCAAAAAAATCACTCTCATTACCGAATAAGAAATAAAATTGAGATTTATGATGGATTAATTTGTCCTAATTCATATTGAAATTTTTTCAGCTATTATTACTCATATATCATAAATTAATAATATTTTAGTAAACTCCAAATCCTTAAGGGTAACTCTAGATCGCTACTTTCAATTTATACTAATAATATATAATCATATATTTTGTTATTTAAAGCAACAGATATATTTAAATACAAATAAATTTGTTTTATTAATGGAAAAAGACTAATAAATACAAAGTCTTAGATTTATATTATTCTATGGTTTTAGGATTGGTAAAATCAATTTTATATAACAAAAATAGTATCTGTTTTTTATCATTATATAAACTTATATTTATACTCTTAATAACTAATTAATTATGGATACCTTACTCATAAAATCTTATGAGCAATGAAATCAATTAAAAATAATTAGTAATTAGATTTAGAATGATTTAAATATTTAGAGTAAATGTAATTTGTGATAGAATTTATATTACTTTTTTATAAAAGAATTTCAGAAAAAGTATAACGATATTCCAAATTATATTTATTTGGTGATTAATATGAAAATTAAATATGTGCTAAAATTAAAGAGTTTTACCAAAATTAAGTGATTTTACAATAGGAAGACTAAAAAATCAAGTTTGAAATTAATAAAAAAAGAAATTTAGATGCACTTTCTAAGAGAAGAAATAAATGGGCTTGTAAATTAGGAAGGAAAATATTCCATATACTTATTCATTTAAATATAAGGAAATAAAATAATTATTATATTATAAAAGGCATCCCATCATAGTTTAATCAATATTTGTATTATAATGATAAAATTTGAAGAATTTAAAATTAAAAAATGGAAGAGTCTGTTAATAAGTTTTCTAATTAATTTTAATAAGAATTAATATATAAAAATAAAATATATTTCTTTTTAGCATGAGTCTAAAAAATTTTACATCCAAAAAAAGCTGATTATTGATCTAAGTCAATTCATTAATTAGATATCTATTCAAAGGATGAAAATGTGAAAATCTCATATTAATGATTAGAAATTTTATATAATATCTTTCATTTCAATTTTCATAATCGCTTCTTTCAAATTTAGAAATATACCTTTTGTTAGTATCTTCAGATGCCATATTATGATTTTAATGAAAATCATTCCTTGCGGTAATCTATTTTGAACTCTGAATTCTTGANGATTTATGATGGATTAATTTGTCCTAATTCATATTGAAATTTTTTCAGCTATTATTACTCATATATCATAAATTAATAATATTTTAGTAAACTCCAAATCCTTAAGGGTAACTCTAGATCGCTACTTTCAATTTATACTAATAATATATAATCATATATTTTGTTATTTAAAGCAACAGATATATTTAAATACAAATAAATTTGTTTTATTAATGGAAAAAGACTAATAAATACAAAGTCTTAGATTTATATTATTCTATGGTTTTAGGATTGGTAAAATCAATTTTATATAACAAAAATAGTATCTGTTTTTTATCATTATATAAACTTATATTTATACTCTTAATAACTAATTAATTATGGATACCTTACTCATAAAATCTTATGAGCAATGAAATCAATTAAAAATAATTAGTAATTAGATTTAGAATGATTTAAATATTTAGAGTAAATGTAATTTGTGATAGAATTTATATTACTTTTTTATAAAAGAATTTCAGAAAAAGTATAACGATATTCCAAATTATATTTATTTGGTGATTAATATGAAAATTAAATATGTGCTAAAATTAAAGAGTTTTACCAAAATTAAGTGATTTTACAATAGGAAGACTAAAAAATCAAGTTTGAAATTAATAAAAAAAGAAATTTAGATGCACTTTCTAAGAGAAGAAATAAATGGGCTTGTAAATTAGGAAGGAAAATATTCCATATACTTATTCATTTAAATATAAGGAAATAAAATAATTATTATATTATAAAAGGCATCCCATCATAGTTTAATCAATATTTGTATTATAATGATAAAATTTGAAGAATTTAAAATTAAAAAATGGAAGAGTCTGTTAATAAGTTTTCTAATTAATTTTAATAAGAATTAATATATAAAAATAAAATATATTTCTTTTTAGCATGAGTCTAAAAAATTTTACATCCAAAAAAAGCTGATTATTGATCTAAGTCAATTCATTAATTAGATATCTATTCAAAGGATGAAAATGTGAAAATCTCATATTAATGATTAGAAATTTTATATAATATCTTTCATTTCAATTTTCATAATCGCTTCTTTCAAATTTAGAAATATACCTTTTGTTAGTATCTTCAGATGCCATATTATGATTTTAATGAAAATCATTCCTTGCGGTAATCTATTTTGAACTCTGAATTCTTGAAGTTAGTAAAGATATCAATTATCTAAATTACTTTGAGTTTTTTAATTATATTCTTGAAAATTATATCAGATGATCTCTCAATTGCATAAAAAGATATTTGATTCTTATTTCTCTCAACTTCTCCTTCTCTAAAAAATTTTTTAATAAAATAGTAAAATACAGATTTGGTACTTTAGAATTTAGAAGTTAATACAATTTATTTAACAATTACAATTTATAAAGCTTTATATAACTTCTTACTATGTCAAAAATAAAAGGGTAACACATTTTAATAAAGCAAATAATAATAACAATTTATATCAGCATAGAAGCACCTAAGTAATTCTTTTATTCACAAATTTATTTTGTTAATGCTAATAAAATTGAAATTGAACAAATTTAACTACTCTATAAATCCAAATTATTAAATTTTTGATTAATGAATGGTTAATTAAATGCTGCTAATATCTGATACATTAATAAACATAATCCTAATAGGGAAGCCTTCAAAACTATTTCAGTTTCAAAATTGGTCAGAATAAATATTAAGATTGCTTTCTTAAATAATTTAATCTATTCCCAATAAAATCCTTCCATTTTGTATTCATTCAATAAATATGAAATATGTCTTCTAATTTTAATCTTATCCAATCTATTTTAATTTATCATCAACAAGATAAAAATCAATAATGGTATCAAAATACCAATCACAATCAATCCAGGGATTATAAAATAATACATCCATAAATAATGATCTTGAGTTCCATATATCATAGAAACATCACCATGAATATAATTAGTATTTGATACTTCTATTCTAGAAACAACAGATGAAAACCTAATAATTTTGAATTTAATATATACATTTTAACTAATCCTGCAAAATTGAAAATATACAAATATAAAGCAGTATTCGATAAAATACTTAAATCATACTTTTGTTTAACATACAACAAATACAAAGATGATCCAATAAATATTATATTAAATTACATAACCATTAATATTATCATTGTCAATATTTTCAAATAAATATTTGGTATCTATTGAATCAATGACAAATAACAATCCAAATCTTTAGACATAAAAGAAGAACTATCACTAGTTTATTCAATAAAAATAAAAGAAAAAGAGAATTCTATGTTAAAAGTAAATATCACAGAAAATATCCAGAAATAATTTAACAGCATCTTTATCAAAATACTTTCATGATCTAATAATTAATTATTTTACTATTACTTTAATTTAATTTAAATAATATCTTATTAAATCGTTATCCAATAATTAATTATGCATATAATAAGTTCGAGGAATGTATACTTTTTAAAGACATAAATATAGACACAAAAGTCCTATTATAATAAGAATTCAATACCAAATTCCAACAATAAATACTGAGATTAATTTACTTAACTCAAATTAACATTTTAGACATTATTAATCCCATTAATTTTTAAAATATTTACCAAATCCCTTAGTATCATAAACATCACATTCTTCACACAATGCTCCTATATGTCCTTCACTGCATGTATAATCACCAACTTACCAACCTCCATGACAAAATTATGGATTCTTAAAACAATACTCTGCATAATCTGATAATTTATTTGGTCTCCAAAATCCTGGTAACAAGTTTATCATATTTGAAGTAATATCAAAGTGCTTATCATTATCAAAAATAGAACATTTTGTTGCATTATATGTAACTGAATAATACCCTTAATTTGATTAACAGATCTGACATCCACCATTTATGTAAAATTCACCTAATTGGCATTTTAGACTTCTTGCAGTTATTATATAAAGTAAATTATTTCTGGCCTCTTCTATTTAACAATTAATTTCAATTTATAAATTTTTATAAGTTTATTCATTAGGATCTAAATTAAATTATAACAATCCAAAATCAAATGAATTCTATTAATTATCATAAAATAAGGTTTAAACATTTCCTTTTCTATATAATTCTTGAAAAGTCGTAGTGATAATTTTATTTGTAACTTCACAAGTTGAATTAAATTGATCAAATATTATTTCATTTCTACTATTTTTGTAGAATAATCTAATATCTTTAACAAAAAGCTTATAAGTTGAGTTGTGTAAATCAAAAATTTAGAGAGTTTTAATAACCTAATTACTTGGTATTATTAAATCATTAGTATAAATATAATTTCCTTATTCAATCATCCGATACCTTTTAAGTTTCAACATATTAAAATTAGTATTATTTAAAATGGAAGGTTTTGAAGGATTTTCCATGAAATTCAGATAAATAGCCAAATGAGTTGGAATCTCTACAACATTATTACCATATTCTTAAGCAATATTAAACAATAATATTGAAGATACAAAATTATCCTTATTTAAATTGCAATCACCTTTTAAATACATACCACCACCAACTCTTGCTCTATTACCTATAATTATTGATTGAATAATAATAAAGCTCATAGAATTTGAGTGAATATATAAGCCTCCACCAAAATTTTCTGCATAATTTTTGATAATTTTACAAAACTTTATAGATATTTTCACTTTTTATGAGAAAATAGCTACTCCCTAACTACCATTATTATAAAGGAAATTAGAATTCTCAATTTATATTTTAGATGCAATTTCAGTTAATTATAGAAAATACAAACATCCATTTCTTTTTATTAAGTTATAATAACAATTAAGCTTTTAAAATTTAATAGATTTAAAGTCTTAAGTTTCAATGAAAACCATTCCATTATAACATTATTAACAATTATTTAAATATAATGTAATGTCTTTAAAAAATAATATAGTCTAATTTGAAATGCTGTTGATGTAAATTAGTGAGTTATCTTTGTTATTTATTTATTAAAGTGAATTAACACCTAAAAATAGATGATCCTGTTGTTAATTTTCAAAAGATTATTCATATAGTGTACATCCTCGAATAAGATAAATATTTGAAAAATAATTCAATGAATAATTTATATCATTCTTGTAAATAGAAATATTTCTGATACTGAGTTATTTAATTTTGATTATTGATTTTATTTACAAAAATTAAGTAATTGTGATTAAATTAAGGAAGTAGAACAATTAAATATTTTCTATTTTTATATTATTAAGTTATAATTAAGGTATATTCTCAAATTAAAAAATAGAATTAATAACTATCCCTTCTAATATAAATCCATCTATATTAATTATACAATTTTAGAAAAACATTAATGAGTTTTTACTATTTCCAATGTCAGTGACTTCTTATATGGTTAAATCTTTAATCCTTTAGAAATATTGTATCCATGCATCATGATTTTGAACAATTCTCACTTTTTTAATTATAACTTTATTATTAACAGCTATTGAAGATGAAAATTTAACATTCAGTATCTAATCTTTTAATGAAAGACAATTTAATAGGTTTATACCATTTAAAAAGATTGAATTCAATAATTTAGAAGGTTAAATTGTAAAAATGGAAGGTCCCATTCTATTAAATATATTAGTAAATAAACCATTTTTCACTCTTAGATTCAGCTTACTATTTGAAGACTCTATATTAAAGCAACCTATACTTTTTTTAATTTATTTTAAGTTGTTATTTGCATAATCTATTTTGATATTTATAAAATTTATGATGCCATTTGCCTTTGTTGAAATGTCAAATATGAAACTTTCTATTGCTAATATATTTTTGAATGTGCAATTTATACAAGATATATTAGAAACTAAGAATTAACCAACACCTCCTCCGTTATTTTTAGTTTGTAAAACTTAGAAAACAAAATCATTCAAACTTTCTTAATCCAATAATCCATTAAATTAAAAGTCATAATAATTTGCCCATAATTATTGTGATAATAAATTTAAATTATTTATTGTAAAATTAATCATCATTAGAATATCAGATCTTATTATCATAAATGAATTAGAAGAATTAGTCAAAGTGTTATTCTCATAAAATAAATTTGTAATTTCTATTACACTTGATGAAGACATAAAGTATATTAAATTTACTATAGTGCTTATTGAACCACTTGAATAAGAGTGGAGAAAGTTTTCAAAATATGAGATATTATTTAATTTTATGGTAGCCTTGTTATAGGATTCGATAATTAAACATGAAATCAGATCAACCAAAGTTGATTAAATTAAAGTATTTTCAGTAAATTATAGATTCATTATCTCGATATAGGAATTGAAATATTCTAATCTTTATTAACTTGGACTTATTTATATTATTGATTCATCAATATTGAGAATTTTTGAGATTTAAATATTAGTTATATATATATTAGTGAAGCCTATAATTAAAAGTAGTTTAGTTTTTTATATTAATTATAAACAATCTTAAGATAAAGGAATCTTTTTATTTTTAAGTGAATTCTTAAATATTATATTCGAAATTAATAGCTTATTATTTTCAGATAAATAGAATATGACGAAATTATTATTATCAACAATTAAGAAATTTGATATATATATTTCATTACTGTTTATGTAAAATAGCTAAATCATATCATCATATGTAGAATATTTAGAATTTTATTTGATGATGAAATTTGTTAATTAAATTTATATGGTATTTGTTTAAAATGTAGAAAATATGAGAATTATATTTGAAGTCTAAAATTCATTTTTTATCGCATTCAAATTATCTAGATAACATATTTAATGATTCTTAAATAATATTTATGTAACTGATAAGAATTAGGAGAAAACAAATAAATTTTCTAGAATTATTATTTATTTAATTGAAATTTCAAAACTAATAGTTATAATAATTGAAGTTTCTAAATAATTGAAACATATGTCTAAATTATTAAACTGTATTCTCATTTATGCAGTGCTATTAATAAAATAAGAGTTTACTAAACTACTATTTCGTATTTTTAGGTTTTCTCCTTATAGATATCCTTATTAAGGTTAACTGTTTAAGAAACTAATTATTGTTGAGTTTTTTAAATAGGATTAAATGATTATGAATTATTGAAAGGATAGAAGTTAATCTATTTAAGAGAACTTAAATATTGCAGATTATATAAATGTGCAATTCAGAATTGATAATGATATTATTTTTATTTATCCTAATAATAGTTATTTTTGAAAATTAAAAATAGATGAATTAAGAAATTCAGAATTAGAAATAGTAAAATTTATTAATGTTATATTACCAAATACTTCTGTTGCAAATAATGAATTAATATTTTATAGTGTACTATTCTGAATTGTAAAGTTAATAATTTTTAAATGAACTTAATTCTTACTATTATTAAAAAGTAAATAATAATCATTTTAAATCACAAAGCCTAAATTACTAATTTCAATTTAATCAAATTCATTAAATTAGAATGGAAATGTAAGAATAATTTCCAAATATTTCTAAGATGATAAATGAAAATTCACTTTTTGCAATGTAAATATTTTTTGTTTTAATTCAGTCTTTAAGTTTAAAGGCAAGATAAAAAAACAAAGTGATTCAAAGACCTTAAATGTAAAATTTATTGTTAATTCCTCAATCCCAATTTAGTTACAATATTAGGTATTGATAATATCTTCATAATTTCGATTAAATCTAGAAAAATCGCATGAGTATTAGGAAATTTCAAACAAAAATTTATTCTAACAATCACTATTAAAGCAATATTTAATTAAATGTTAATAAGAATCTAACTTAATAGCAGAATCTCTATATGGATAAATACATTTCTTTGTATAGATTTGGTTTAAATCATTTACTATGAAATTTGGTTAAGTTTTCTAATTATTATATTTATATTTATACCTAAATTTCCTAATCTAAACGATTAATGCATGCTTAACATAATGGAGGACAATATGAACATTTTGTACTTTATTCTGTTATGACTGATTTTTTGTAATAATTTAATGGGCATACCTTACAAAAAGTTTAGACTTGAGAAACACACAATAGACATTCTGGATCACAAGGCTCATCAATTTTTGGCTATGGATTCAAAAATTAACTATAAACATTTAATTTAAGTTGAGGTACAAATTAAAGTACAAAACTTTGAATCTAGTTGACCTAATTTTGAATTAATTATGTTTCAACATCAAATTCATCATTTTAATAGCAATTATTATTTTCAATAATGTAATCTTTTTGGCACAATACACATTTGATTTATTTCTCAATATTGATTGTACAGTATTAACATTTTAATATTAGATTCTCACAATTTGAAATTTGAGGGGCAATAGAAAAATCATCATTTTTAGATAAAGTACACTGTTCCTTACTTTATAAGTTAATAAAAGATCTTAAACAATTTTCTATTTCAGGTTTCTAAAGTAAACATAATCCTAATGTAAAGTCAAAGATATAATCTTATTCACAAAGTGCGCAACCTTATTAAACATTTTATAACCATATTAATACTAATTCAGATAAGTTCAATAATGAACATAAATCTAAATTCTGAGCTGAGTATTCAAAACAATAAATACAATTTTTGATTTCGCATAATTTGCATTAATTTTTAAATGAATGATATAATGGTGGTAAGCAGATAAGTTAATCATTTGAATAATTTTTTTCTATATAGATACAATTACCATCTATTAATGTAAAACCTTCATCACATTTTACACATTAAAAGGATTCAATAGATATTTAACAAATTTAACAGGATTCTATAAAACATTCGTAACAAATTAATTAATCGCTTTAATCAAGATCAATTTACTAACAAAAATGTCTAAAATACATTTCTGCTAATAAATATTCTTTAAAGATGCCATCTGAATTTAATAAATTGTTATTATAAGGGAATGAGTGGGTTTAATGAATGGGATTTAATTATACTCCATCGAAATAAAACTGAACATTATCAACTAATTAAAATGCTTCCTCTAAAATAGTATTTGGCTTGAAAATAAATGTATTTTAACAGATAGGATTCTGATACCAGTTCTATGGATTACTTAAGCATTCATAACATGTAATCTAATCTTCCTTAATTATTGAAGGACTAAATATTTCATGATAATTTACCATTAATAACAATCTCCATCAAATTCAAAATAACCGTATAAACAATTTTTACTTTTTTGTAAGATTTCCTCCTTTATCAATTGTAGATTAGATTGTTTATAATCTTAACATTAATTTTCAATTTCAATTGTATTATATGGGCATATACAGACTTTATGTTCTGGAAGATAAATTCTTTTTGATTCTTATGGGCAAGACAAACAATCCTGATTAGTTGGACCATCACAATCTTTGCAGCTTAGATGGCAGCTTAATTAGATTTAGTCTATAAAACAATTATAAAATTCTAAATTTCTGACTTAAACAATTAAATAATTAGGATATATATCTAACAAATTTCCATATTTTACTTAAAACTGACAATTATGAAATTAATAAACATCATACTAAACATCATATTTATTAATTTCCTATTAATTATAGAATGTAATTTCAACTTTTAATTTCGACTTTAATAACTCTACTTTTAAATAATGCCAAAGTGATATTTAGTTTTAGATTAGCCATTTATTCTTTAATAAAAAAGGATCATCTATAAAATCAATTGAAGAATCAGGAAAAGTATAATTATATGTAGTAATTTCTATCTCATTATTTAATGTAGCAAAATGATAAAATAATTAAAAGGGAGACAAGTTTTGATTCTATAATTGTGGATTTTATAAATTGGCTGAAACCTTCATTAATTAATAACTAAATTTTCCATATGAATTCTTATTTTCTTTTATTTTAATCCATCCTATGAGAATGAAGGAATCGCAATTTTAGTTTTCGGATATAAATTAGTGTTATTATTAATTTTTAAAGTCTTAGTCGTTTATTTTATATTTTTGATTTTGATTACAAAGGCAATGCTTGAAATTTTATTCAAATGTCTCTTAAAGATAATGAATGAAATCAAAATCAAGGTCTAGTCTTTGAATTGATACTTCCTATTACCATATAGGACCTGGAAAATAAGAAAACCCCTCGTTTTAGTATACTTCAAGTATTTGGAAATTACGTACTTATAAATTACCTCCAAAAGTTAATATTAAATTTAAATCTTTTAATATTTATTTAATTTCTTTGGTGATTTGTAATAATACTTCCTATTTCTTCGTTACTATCAAATGGAACTTATCTAATTTTGGCCATACTATTACTTGGAAGAAATACCAAATATTTTCATATTCAAATGTATCAATGACTAAATCAAACCTTATTTATTAGTTCTAATTATTGATAAATTAAATTGTTTTTGTTATTTTCTTTGACTCATAGTCAAGACAATCAAAATATACTATATTTAAATTTTATTATTCTAAATCCATAGCATTATGTAAATGAAAGCAATGACTATCAAAAATTCCTTAATATCCCACTTAAGATATTGCACTAAGAGGGTTGAATTTTGACCATAACCCATATGTCAGACAACTGTTAGTTACATAACCATTATCTGTTAATTATATAATTTTTCTTTCAAATTGATTATTAGGATTCATTTCAGTAGTTAAAAATTTGCTCACTACTACAACGATTTAGGCCATATAACATATCACTATCATCAAATTAAAATAATATTAAAATACTAATCAAAAATATTGCACGTCTTTAATACGCCTATTAAATTATCAAATTTATTCATTATTATCTTAAAATTATGTTATTTAAAATAAATATTTGTATAATCTGAAAAAATTGTTCAATAAATTCCTCTATCACTCTGCAACAAATTGTCAAATTAATAAAGGATAATTTTAATTCGCAACTTTTCATAAAACTATGTGTGTTTTTATAGATAGATGAGAAAAAAAAACTATTTATTCTGATAAATCTTTGAGCCAAACTCTAAGAATAATAATCTGCTTAGATATCCTTTTTAATTGATTTGCAAGAAATATTTAAAAATCTTATTCTATATAAGAGTTATTTACCAAGAAATTAAAATTAATTAAAATTATTATAATTCAATAATTAATAAAATGTAAATTTCAATAAAAATACAAAAATATTTAATAGTGAATAATTTTAGTATCACTTCTTCAGATAGACTACTTAAAAAAATAAGAATGGGCTCAAAATGTTTATTCAGATAATTGTAGTTTAAAAATTATTTTAAACTCTTCCCATCAATAAGTCTGTTAACTAAAGAAACATCTAAAAAAATAAAATATTAAGGAAACTTTAATTATCGTTTGTAATTATGCATTCAATTCTTGAATATATTGTCTTTGATTTGAGATTTTTTAATATAATGCTTAGCAAGAAATATTAATTACTAACAAATGAAAACCTACTTTAATATCAATAGAAATTACTTAAATAAAGCACTCAAAAAATGATTTGAATGTTTTTTCTTTATTATAAAATGTACGGCCATTTCTAATAATCTACGTGCTTTATTTAAAATTTTTATAGCAGTATAATGCCAATAATTGTTTTTTCTTCTATTCTAAAGAATCATTTTGTAGTTTCCTTATATAAGAATTATAATAAGGATTAGTACAAAAAGCAGAAACCTTTTTTTAAATCAACATTAAGTTTTAGTTTTATCATTTATATATAATGTTCAATTATCACTCAGAATCTGATTTTTACCAAATTCTTTGTTAATATAGTTTAGATTTTTTCAAATATTTATTTTTTTAATTTAACTTAATTCTTTTAAGTATTATTTAGATCGATATTTTAAAATTGATAATAAAATTTTGGTTTGTAATTCAAAATAAACCAACTAGAGCTAAACTATTAAGATACGTTTTATAATTTTGATATCTTGATTATTATTATGATTATAAAATTATTTCATACAAAGCTTGTAGAAAAATACGATCTATAATTTTTAGCATTATCATTACTTAATTAATGCCATGTTGGGCATAGTGTTGAGTAAAATGCTCTCTAATTTTTTATAATTGTAAATCAAGCTATA